CTCTATAAACTTTAGACATGTAAGTAAGAAAGCCTGTCTATAAAGGAGAAAGTGTGAGAATAGGTTTTTACAACTCAAATTCTTTTCATTCTTATTCAAACACTATGTACTAACCTAAATACCAGGCACCTCTAACAGTACCTGGAGGCACTAAAGACAATTGGGTCCCTTTAATTATTGAAGAGAAAAAGACATTTAAATAGACCCATCACGGCAAAGTGCTGTGAAGACTACGACAGCTTATTTAGACAGGGACCATAATTTACTCATGTTTGCAGCCCAACTCTAACCACAATGCCCAGAACAGAGTTAGCAGCTCAATAAATTTCCTGAATCAATGTTTTCACATCCAAGAGTCCTTCTGACTGGCTTTAAATTCTCCTATGTGCATATGTATTTGTGTGAATATATATGTGAATATATGAATATTTATGACCATGTCTGAATTCAGTTGTAATAAGCCACACTTGAGTTTCCTTGGACTTCATATGCAAAAGGTGTATTAAGTCAACTACCAGTCCTAGACTAAAAATCACCCACTATTTTATGCTTTCTCAGCAACAGAAACATCACTGAGAAACAAATGCACTCAACTGGGTTTTAATGTAGGTACTATGTTTGGTTGAAAGAATTCACTTAAACAATCTAGAAGCAAGTCTGCCCTCTAGTGCTAAAACTATCAAATAGAATCAGAACAGCAATTTACAACTACCAGAAGTAGCAGCAATATATTCTTAGCTATAAAAACCATATTATTTAAAACAAAAGACTTCATCATTCAGATGTCATTTTGCCATTTGCTTACATATCTGGTATCATCAATATTGCTTTTTAGAATCTCAGGGCTTCTACTACAAATTATAAAGTAATTGTGTATGTGGTGGAAAATGTTAGCATTACATTTTTACTTGAAAGTAACAAAAAGTGATTCTAAAATTTCACTAATCATGTCAATTCAGTCCTATTCTCTGGTTACACTTATTCTGTGATTTCATCCATGTCTTCATTTAAAGTAGGTATACACACTGATAACTTTCAAATATTATCTCCAGCCCAGACTTCTTTGAATTCCAGATCCAACTGCTTCTCTACATTTTCCTCTGGACATCCCATACCCATTCTACCAGAGTATGTCCAAAGCTAAATTCTCATTTGTTTCCCCGCAAACCTCCTTTAAGTTGTTCCCATCTTAGTATACGACAACTTCATTCATGGAGTTTGTCTTCAAGCCAAAAATCTTGGGAGTGATTTTTCTCATATCCCACACCAAATCCATTAAAATATTCTGCCTGGAAGCAGGGGTGGGGTTGGGGATATGGCCCAAATAATGTATACACATGTAAGTAAATGTAAAAATGATAAAATAAAAAATACTCTGTATTCAGAACCTGACTACTTATTTCTAGTCTTCGGCCTCTCCAACAACTGTACCATTCCTCCTTTGGATTACTCAATTATCACTATTCTACTCACCTTCATCCTTCCTTTCCTTGATCAAAATGCTACTTGCTTCTTACCTCAATGTCATGTCTTTAGAAGAGACTAAAACACCCTACATAATTACCTACAATCAATTATTAACCCCAATAACTCCAACCTCACTTTCTAACGTTAATACTCTCTTGCTCACCAGTTACAAGGACATCCTGGTTGTTTGACAACACCACACACACTATACCAGTTCATGACCTTAGCACATACTAGCTCTGCCTGGAATGCTCTCCTCTCAATACCAATTAAAACTCCTTAACAGGTCAAAGAATTGTGCACTCTATGCTTTGCTATAAATTCTGGCTTAGAACAACTGTTAGTGTATAGCAGATAGGATTTGTTGAATTAATGAGCTAGTCTAAGAGGAATATGAATAAATTTGATTATAACAATCCCAGCACTTGTTTACATAGGATGGTAAAATTTGCTGGGGGAAAAATAAAACATTGAATCACTTTTTGTTCGTGTACTATGATATATTCATTTAACATCTAAGTCCTGTGGTTAGGACCCTGTTTGAACTTGCTAACAATACCAGTAGGCATTATTATTGCTACTTTACAGAAGAAACTGAAGATGACAATGGTCAAGTAACTTGTCTAAAAGTAAAATATATTAACAGGAATGTGGGAAAAAGGAAAATAAACTCAGGTTCTCAGCTATTCTGTAAACTATTTTGCAATACTCAAAGCAGTTTCAGGGTTTCTATACTTGTAGATAAAAGTAATGTGTATGAACTTGCTATAAGCCATTTCATTTTCCTGCCTCATGGTTCAAATGCAACTGATAGTGATCATATAAAAGCAAAATTTCCTTTGACTTTCCAAATTTGTGAAGGGCTTTTCTCCATGATCTATTTTGTACAAGAAAGACAGAGCATATTCTCAATTCTACATGCACACATACAACCCACAGTTTTGGGGGGAATCTAGCTGTCTATATATTTATTTTGCATACTTAATAACTTTTTTTAAAAGCCACAATTTTTTAACTTAAAATCCAAAGGAGGTGAAAAATCTGTTGATACTTTTGAGTTAAAGCTAAAAAGCAAAAGTAAACACTACTTCAAAATTACATAATTTGGGGGTGAGTAAAGAAACTTTTAATGAATTATTTTTGCTATAACTTTTCCACTCATGGACCATCGACCCATAAAATAAATACAACAACGCCCCAACAAAATTGGCATTCTAATACAAGAAGCATAGTCCTGTTAAATCTACCTCATTAGCGTATCACAGGTACTTAAACAATACTTAACCCATGGCTAACCCATGTAAAAATGAACCACATTACGGAAGGTTCTAAGCACATTTCAGAAAATACATTAGCAAAATGTCTCATCCATTCTAAAGAGAGAATGTTCACGTTACCAACAACCGATCAGGGAAAGGAGCTGAGGAAACACGCTATCCATACTTAAAGAATACATTAGATTGAAAGGTGGGTACAACATATGCCTGACTAGTTTTATTAAGACTGGTGCTTGGGAAAGGTAAGTAAGTTGTGGTTTAAAAAAAAACAAAAACAAAAGATTTGCTCCAATGAAGTAAAAGTTCACTAAAGAAATCTTTACCATTAAACATTCAGGCTTGGAGAGGAAACTCATCTTTTCACAATCTATGAAAGAGTACCATACAAGTTACTACTTTTTGGGCTTCCACAGTGTAACCACAGATAACTAGGTCTACTAACTTAAAAAAAAAAAGAAAAAAGACTGAGTCTCTTAAGCAGTCTGTTTTTCTGATTGTTATAAGTATTCATGAAATTAGTAAAACTATATTCATGAAAGATGGTATGATCCAGAATATTTGGTTAATTCAAATTAGCCTTTCTACTGAGGAAATGAAATTTTGCTACTTCTCTTTCCTCCTATCTTTGAAACGTTCTTTTGTGATGATTTCTAGTATCACTCAAGATGTATGACAGTTTCTCAAGAAGGGAGAATGATTTAGGAATAAGAATTCTTCTGTAGCAAAAAGATTGATAGATTTTGCCTTTTATTTTAAAAAATACATTTAAGTTACACATTAAAATACTCTCAACCTATTTTCTGCTTTAGACATTTGGGAAGCATATGAGAGATGTACTCTAAACTTTAGGCTATTGGAGCCTCGAACGCCAGAAAAACTTTTTAATCAGATTATGAACTGTTATCACAATAGTTATTAACGTCAAGAAAGCAGTAAAACAAATTAAGTCAGCATTCTTACTACTTGCTCCTCTAAATTAAGCACATAGTAAATTTCAACAAATCCTTTCATGGTTTCACACTAGCAATTATGCAGAAAGGTCATGTTTTGCTGAAGAAGTAGTTGGAAGTGAAATGTACGCTACGATACAATGCATGTGTCCTGAATCTGAGCAACTTCACATGCCTCATGAACCTTAAACACTTCACTGATCTCAGAACTCTATTCCCACCCTCGCCTTCCACCCCAAGTCACGGCATTCAATACTATTGAGACAAATTTTTGGTTTGCTAGGTGAAAAGGCATTTTGTATTTAAGAGCTCATAGATCCTCATGGGAGGCCCACAAATTCCCATTCCATTAACAATCCAGAGTACTTCAGAGTAAAACCCCAATCAAGAAAATCAATGTATCATACATAAAAATACAACTATGAAAAATGCATTATGTCAAGAGTTTTATCAGCAGCATTTAAAAAACAAGAAATCATTATAGACAGTGAGACAAATATGGTTAATACAGATTCAGATCAGACATAGTACACCACTTTTTAATCAACCTGAATCCCTGGCAATTTTTTATAAAAATTACTGACCCCACTGTGAGGGGCAACTGCACCATCCTCCCACAGTTGAGAACCAACAATTGGCTCTGCTTTCTTCCAGCAGTATTACATTTGGTACTATTCTCTAAGAAGCATGTTACAAAGCACCATAGAGTATTTCATCTCATACAAAGTAAATACATCTGAAAGTTTTATAGCAGGATTCCTGGGAAGGCACTGTAACTAGTCAAAAAAGGAGCTGTAATGGTTAGGACAGTTCTATTTTATATCGTGGACTCCTTAATACTGTCTTCAACATCTTGACTACTTAACAACTTAATCACTTAACATCTTGATTACAAGTTTCCCAATAAATTAAATGTTATTCAACTATTATAAATTAAGAAGGAGAGAAAGGACACAGCCCTCACCCTGACAGATGGATGAGGAAGAATAAATGTGCCTGTGAAGTAGGTCAACATTAAGACTTTAAAGGTGAGAAAAATAGATGGAGCAAGAGAGTACAGCAGGCATAACCAGGGTGAGACTGGGCTGCTGACTGCAAGGAAAAAAGAAAGTAAATTTAATTTTCATTTTCAGACTCAAAAAAATCTTAATTACTGTTATTAGTTCAGGCTATAAAATGACATCATACAAGTTTTCACTTAAATTGATTTGATTAAACAAAAATTGACAATACTCTTCAAGTTTACAACTTCTGCCTTAAAAAGAAGAGTCAATCAAGTTATAAATCTCAAATATTAAATGCTTCCTTCTATGAATTTGATATGAAGTCATTTGTGATATTAAATAACAACACTATTGGTATGCCCAGTTCTAACAACTCAATGACACTCATATAATATAAGAAGACTATTCCAAGAAAATTATCCTTATCTATAAGACATTTAGGGAAAAATTTATTTCCCAGTATTGTATCAGTGTTTTACAAAACTATACAAAGCAATCCTAAGGCAAGTAAACCACTGGCAATTATTTTTTCCCTGTTCATTAACCAAAATGCAAACAATAAAAAGATTCTAAATATTATTCTCCCTTAAGTAAACAATACCAAAAATCACTTATTAAATGCACTACCAAAAATCAATCTTTACCTTGAATCTCAATACAAATTACAGAAAAATAACCTATGCTCTTCAAACATACAATGACATAGGAATACTGAGGTTGTGACTTGGACTGTGAATGTGAACAAAGTTTTCACATCATTGGGATCTTACATGGCTTGAAAAGAAATTGATACACAGGCCTGCTGCTCATTCCAAAGGTGCCTTTTATGTGAATGAGGACAGATTGCCATCTCAAGACACTTTATTGCCAACAGTCAAAACATGATGATAAAACAGCAAAACGGTGACTGCCGATGCAATAGCCTCATTGAGGCTGGGGTGTAGCTCAGTGGTAGAGCACTTGTCTAGCATGCACAAGGACCTGGGTTTGGTCCCCAGCTTAAGAAAAAAAAAAAAAAGTAAATGATCTCACTCAGGTTTTAGCTATATCCAGAGTTCTCTCATGATTCCTTCCTTATTCTTTTACCTTCTGTGTGGATCTTAACTAAGTTTACAACATTGGGGCCAAAGTTTTCTTAAGACAAACGAAAGCACTCCCAACAAAATTCTATCATAAAATGACAGTTCAAAAGACCATAAGCATGCGCTTAATGGCAATGATAAGAATGCAACTTCAATATGTTCTCCTAATTCTTTCACAAGGATTTCTAATTTTGAAATCATTAATACACCAACCTTGTTCTTTCAAGTATAATTGAAACTTTTTCGCTTACAAATACAGAAAACTTAAGATTCACATTAAGAATATACATGAATATACACTAAGCATTCTCAATATGTTTATTGAAAATACTATTTAATGGTCAGGAAATTAACTAAGTGGACATAATCTTTCCAATTCTCAACACTTTAGGTAAAGTATGTGCATAAGACCGTGGCAACTTTTACAAAAACCCAGAACCAAAGGTTGGAGCAATTTCAATTATCTAAAAATGTTTTCTAGTAGCTGCATCAAAAAATCATTATCCCACAAGTCAAGGTTAATTATTCTGCCCAGCTGTGCAAGGATGAATATGAGGAGCCAGACCATCAGCCGAACACAATGTCATGGTTTACAATCTTTATAATTCCATAAATCCATGGTAACTGAGAACCTCAAAAATTCAAGAATTCAAATTTACAAAAATAAATACCACTCTGACACTCAAGGGACATCTTCACTTTAAGGCCTTTGTCACAAATCTCAATCTTTATTGTTCTGAAATAAATGTTAAAAACATAACTTGAAACAAAAACATCAATATTCAGTCTCATAAGAGGTGTGGCTCAATGCCTATCACATGTAACAAGAAAACTTCCTTTAAAAAAAAGGAAAAAAATTACTATGAGAAGTCTTTCATATGACTGAAAATGCACCCTTTGGATTATTTTTTCCCTCATCTTATTAGCTTGTATACACGTGGGAATCAAAAAAGTATGCATTTTCTTCATAATACTTCTTGCTATGATGTTTGCCGGACTTTTTGCCACTCAACAAATTCATCAAGAAGAACAGGCCCTAGGGAAGAAAAAGACAAGTTTTGTTAGAATTTACAGCAAACTCCCTACAAGCTTTTTGATGACCTGGATTGGCCTTTCTCTAGGTGTTTTGCTTCTAACCACTCCTCTCTCATTTAACAGTGCTTTCTTGGCTTTTTCCTTTTTACCCTTAAAAAACATGAAGGGACTTTCTACAATAGGAATCTGTAACAATTTCCTTCTTGTGGAAATGTCACAAAAAAAATCTCCCTGTATAGCTATCTTAAACAAACAAAAATGTCTTTTCAAAAATGGAGAACAGGAAGGTAAAACAGGTCTCGTCTGGGGGATTGGTATCAGCGGGAGGGGAGGACATAAGGAAAGGGTGAAGGAGGGTGAATATGGTGGAAGTACTATGTTCTCGTGTGAAAATGGGAAAAATGAGACCTGTTGAAACTATTCCAGGAATGCGGAAAGGGGGACAAAGAAAAATGATGGAGGGGGCGGTGAATTCAAATATGATATACTGGAAGAACTTCTGCGAATATCACAATACATCCCCAGTACAACGATATGATTAAAAAAAAAAAAAAGGCATTTCATGAACCTTCCAATAAATGAGTCAACATTAACCTCTTCCATACATAGCATTCTGGCATTTAATTATTAAAAAACCTGAAAAGTGATTATGGTAATATTTCTGTTACCTCCCCAAGAATTATGTAAGGAGGACTGGCCACACTGAAGACTGCCTCCCCAAAACAGGACATAGTACCAAGATGGACATAAAGCAAATGGCTAATAAACACATGACTAAATCCCATTTCTAAAATAGATACTTTTACAATGCAGAGTTTAAACATTTGCCAAGTAGGCAATTTAAATGAGCTCAGTGGTTTTTCTTTTTTCTTTTTTTTAATGTAAGCAAAGCTTGTCTTATTTTTCTCAAAACACAAAAAACACAAAACCCTTGGGTGGTCTCTTTTTTTCCCTCTTGCTTTTAATAGACTATTAAAAAAAAACCAAAACAGCAAGCAAGCATAATAAATGGCAATTAAGAACAGCCTAGGTATTGGTGTACTGCGTGGACTGTCAAGCTAGAAAGCAAGTTCACCATAAAATACCACATGGCTCCAACCTCCGAATCCTATGAAGAATACAGGTGCAGTTGTGCTAGATTTCTGATTATTCAAACACATCTAGTTTTATTTCTACACAAAATCTCCCAGTTTTAAATTGGGTAAATATATATCAATAAACACATCTGCAGGCAATGTGTAGCCTTTGGGCTGCCAGTTTACCACAAAGTGTTATTTCTTTAAAATATTAAATTTTATGCTATCCTGTAGGGTAAGAACATAATATACAGAGAGAGTATTTTATTTCTTCAATGTCACAGACAAAAGTCCCTAACGTTAGTGGACTTTTACAAGGAATGTATTTTTCCATGTAACCCTTCTGAATATTACAATAACACATGCAACCAAAATGACAGAAACTGAAAATTTTAGAGTATAAAAAAATCATCTCATTATTTTATGGCATTCTAACCCTTCCACTGAAGAATACTAACAGATATTTACACTTGAAGCACTAAGAAACTGTACGTATTTAATTACCAGTTTACTCAGAACCAATCTGAAATTCCCAGTGGGCAGTGATTTTGACATTACTTGCCATACTGTGGTGAGAACTATAGCTGTCCTATTGTGGCTGACTGCCTCAAATTTTTAAATCATGACTGCATTTTTCTTCCACAGGAAAGGCAGGATGCAGAAGTTGCGATTTAGTTTATGTAAGGTTTCACTGAAGACTAGGAAACATTTCATTTACTAGCACACATTTCATAACATTGATGAATCTAAGCTCTCTCATTACCTCCCCTATACCCTGGTTAAATAAAAATTGTTATGATATTTGAAAACCATGATGTTAATGCTACACAAATGCGTATCCTTATTGAACATTTTTATGCATTTATTTTCATAGGAATGCATTTTATCATACTTACAAGCGCCATCTTCGTCGTAGTTACTAAGATCAGTGTGAACTGTTCTGCTAAATTCCAATACATTGTACCACTGATCTTTGTTCATAACACGATACTTTGACTGCTGTGGAAAATGACATAAACATTTGGACTACAGAACAAACATAACTTATTAGGGCTTAACTTTAATAAATCTAGTTGTAATTTTTTGTGATTTGGTTTTTCATAAAACATTTACTCCTCTATTGTGTTTCTAAAGAAGAATCAAGAACATTTGCATGTTAAAATCATCCACTTCTTCTAACAGTTTTCTTTCATAAAGGTGTAATATAAATACAAGAGTACTAATAGTATTTAAACACCACCATGATCAAGATCTAAATCATTTCCTATATTCAGTAAGTTCCCCTGTGCTGCTTCCTTATAAATCATTTCTTTTCATGAGCTACATTTTGGGACAGTGGTATCTATGAAGGTAGTGGGAACAATACAGGCTTTGGTTCAAATCCCACCCGTCACTTAATTGAGTGACCTTGAGAAAGTTACTTAAAAATACAACCTGGACTGGAGGTGTGACACAAGCAGTAGAGTACCTGCTTAGTAACCATGAAGCCCTGAGTTCAAACCCCAGTCCAACAATAAATAAATTAGATAATAAAATATGTAAATGAATGAATAAACAAATAAATAAATAAAACAGAACCTAAGTCTAGCTTGGTGGAACACACCTAACCCCAGCACTCCAGAAGTTGAGTCAGGAAGATCTTGAGTTTGAGACTAGCCTGGGCTACACAGTGAAACCTTTTCTCAAGAAAACTTTGAAATTCCACAAAGCAGTAGGAAATACACTGGAACAGATAGGTATAGGGAATGACTTCCTAGACAGAGCTCAAAAGGCTCAGCATCTAAGAAAAACAATGAACAAATGGAATTTCATCAGACTAAAGGGTTTCTGCACAGCAAAGGAAACAGTCACCAGACTCAAAAGATAGCCCACAGAATGGGAGAAAATCTTTGCCAGCTACTCATCTGATAAGGAACTAATATCCAGAATCTATAGGGAACTCAAAAAACTCCAAAGAATCAACACCCCAATGAAGAAATGGGCACATGAATTAAACATGGAATTCTCAAAGGAAGAGGTACAAATGGCCAGTAAATACATGAATTTTTCAACTTCCCCTGCTATAAAAGAGATGCAAATCAAAGCAACACTTAGATTTCATTTCACCTCAGTTAGAATGGCCATAATGAAGAGCAAAAACAATGAATGCTGGTGAGGATGTGGCGAAACAGGTACTCTTATGCACTACTGGTAGGAATGCAAATTAATGCAACCACTATGGAAAGCAGTATGGAGATTCCTCAAAAAGCTAAAGATAGAACTGCCATATGATCCAGTGACACTGCTCCTGGGCATCTACTCAAAGGAACGTAAGTCAGGATACAATAGACATCCCTATATACCGATGTTCATCACAGCACTATTCACAATAGCCAGGCTTTGGAAACAACCCAGTTGTCCTACAACTAATAAATGGATCATGAAAATGCATACACACACACACACACACACACACACACACACACACACACACACACACACACAATGGAGTATTACTCAACCGTAAGGAGTAATGACATGTGGTTTGAAGGTAAATGATACAACTGGAGGACACCATGTTAAGAGAAGTCAGCCTCAGAAACACAAAAGCCCCATGATTTCTCTCATACATGGTAGATCCAAAGACAAACATATACACAAAAACAAGTATGATCATATACAGACCCAAATGTAGAACATGTCTGTAATAATGGAACTACTCTATAAAACTCAAGGAAAGAGGGAAAGTAAGAGAGAATGATACAGCATCAGTAATATCACATACCATAAGATGTGAAGGTAGAGGAAATAAGAATGTGTACGGAAAGCTGTTGAAAATGGGGGGTGAGAGGTAAATGGGTAAGAGAGTAATGAAAGGGGCTGAATGGGCCAAAGTAAAGCACACCCACAGTGGGCATACATTGAGACACCCCTTTGAACACCAACTTAAATATTACTAACAATAAACAGGACTGTAAAACAGGTACAGTGTATGTGTTGGGGGGGGGGTACTAATGGGAGGAGGGAGAGTAAATGAAGGAGATTAAGATGACAGTGTATGGTAGATAGACTTCATATACCTGTATGAAACAGAACTAAGAAACCTCTTATGACTGCCTCAAGTGGGGTTGAGGTGGAGAGCTGATGGGGGCAATGTAACTTATGTATAATAAGTCTAATCGGAATTGTCACTATGAATCCCACCTGCATAAAGACTATACCCTAATAAAAAATTTATAAAAAAATTAGAATCCATTTCCTCAACTGCAAAAGAGGATAAAACTTACATCAAAATGGTGTAATAATGACTAAATTAGCCTGCACATACCAAGTGTCTGAAAATATTTAGTTCTTCTTAGCTCCCCATACAGATACATATTTGTACATCCAGTTAAATTTGATTTTGACCACAACTACTCATAGGAGAATGATGTTATTCACTAAAGATATCTATTTATTGAGCTTAAAGATTTAACTACACACAACACTCATTCACACAAGACCTTTTCATACAAGCTGTAAATAAAACTACTCTAGGGAACTTGCTATGACAAGCAATCAGTTGTACGAGAAATTATTTCCAAGGTGAGACGTCAATTTGCCAAAAAAAAAAAAGGTGAAAGTTATACCAAAAATTAAAAAGGCACAAAAACATAAAACCTGACAAAGAAAGCAATGAAATAAAGGCATATCTTCCTAGAACCACTGCCTCTAGTAGATGCTAAGATAAACCTTCTAAGGAATACTTACTTCATAAATTCAGCATACATTTTTTAGTAATCAGTATAGTTAAGCACATTATTATAGCCATTCTCATATTTGTGGACATAAAACATTAAAGCTTTATTCTACTTCTTCATATTGAGTCTAAGTAGAAAAGGAAAGTTTTATTACCACAATAGGCTCTTTTAGGTACATTTCAGACTAACGACCAGAAGAAACAAAACTTAGAAGCTTGAAATTTGTTGCTAGCATCAATTATCTCTTGTGAAAAGCCCAAGAAACTAATCTTGCATAAAGAATGTATATGTTAAATTATATTGCTTAGAATTCTCTTTTTATTGGAGGGGGGTTATGTGGAATGAAAACATCTTTTCTTTTTTAATGTGATTCTGAGGTTTAAACGTAGGGCCTAAAACTTCCTAAGCATAAACTTTACTACTGAGCTACAACCCTAGCTCCTAAAATATCTTACGTACAGAATATGTTCAGTAACATAAACTCAGGTCTAAAAATGCAACAGATATATACACATTTTAGAATTTTTCACCAGTGTATATACATATACATGGATGTGTATATACATACAATGGATGGTGGCACTGAGGTTTGAACTCAGGGCCTTGCATTTACTGGGCACTATACCAAATAAGCCACACCTCCATCCCTTTTGGCTTTAGTTTATTCTTCAATAGGATCTTGTGCTTGTTTGTACATGTACGACCAGGCCTGGCTCTCAAGCAGATTTTTTAAGTACAATATTAAAAACTCCATTTGTTCCTCAATTAAGTGTATTTTCAATCACATTAAACTTTAAAATATGGGAAAAAAAATACATACCTCTAGGTATTGATAAAAGACTGAAAACAGTGGCCATGTCCTCCCAAGCAGAAGAGCTAACATAGATTTAGCAGTATCAATATCAAGGCTTCTCTGATCTTTATCCTAAAATATAAAAGAAAAAATTTTTCTTAAGTACAATAGGAAGATGAAAAACTATTGCAATGACTAAACATGTAAACTGCACCTACCCTTGCAAAATCAAAGGCATATCTGTATATATTCTTAAACGATGAAATATCATTCAACTGTGAGCGCAAAAAGTCAAATTTGTTCTGTAACTTTTCTGTGCAGTCACACCTTAAATTAAAAAAAAAGATATAATCAAGAAAATTAAAGCATTTTAAGGGGTTAGAAGGAATGCATTAAGAAAAAGTAAGTGCATTTAGGAAATTAATTTAGGTTTAAAATTCTTTAACTCACAAATTTGGAGTAACAAACATGTCTTGTATCTATCAATGTAATAACAAAAAAAGAAAGGAGGAAAAAGAAAACCTAACAACCAATGAAAGTTCACATCAATAACTTGTTACAAAAAAAAATACAACTCAATCAAAATAATCTAGCAAAATCACAAAATGTGCTAAGATGTGCGAGGCCCTGTTTGATCTCCAGTACTGCCCAAGAAAACTAAAACATAGGAATGAGTATCTTTTAAAACAGATGTAGTAAAATATGATTTTATCACAAATAAAGAAAAGAAAAAAACGCTGAGCACAGGGAATTAATCAGGCCTCTGCCATATACTTTTTTTTTTAGAAGTTCTTAGGCAACAGCTTGGTGAAGGAGATTAGCCATAAATGGCTTTAAAAGTTTGGGATACAATACAGAAAGTTAATACATTAAAGTGGCCCAGACAAAAACCCAGATTCCCATACTTTCACTGACCAAAAAGTCAATCACAGAAGCACTTAACTTCAAATAAGGTACATATACAAAAGTATGCAGACAAGTTATACAAGTTATTCTAAAGACATTAACAGTAAGTAACTAAATCAATGGAATCTCAGAACTCTTGACTGGCCTTCTCTCACTGGTTTAGTAAGTTCCACTTTTAAGAGGATGAAGCAAGGCAGACAAAGCCTCCACAAGATGGCACAAATCTATAGTCTCATCTTCTTGTCACCTCCTGGTGTCCTTAGTACTCGTTATTTTTCACTTGCCATTCCCAAATGACAAAGCTATGCTTCAGCACTTGAAATGTTCTCCCCAACATTCTGATAAAATGTAACTCATCAAGTTCTAGCTCACACTGCCATTTCTAAGACCATCTGACTCTCCTTAATCAAATTACCTCTGTCACCCAGTGTGACCCAAAATACTCAAAACCTAATTTTAATAGTCATGATGTAACACAGACACCCGGTGTTCTAAAATTTAACTAAGGCTTTCTATACTAAATCAGTGACCTGAGGGTACATGATGTGTACTAAATTACAATTCCATTAACTGTATATATTTTAGATATAGTTCTAATGTATCTAGAATAAGCCAAATTTAGCCATTGTCCTAACTTAAATGAAAAATCATCTGAGCCTTTTTACCAAAGAAGCAAAGATAAAACTTTTAACTACTTAACAACTGTAATGGCTATGTGACCATTCAGACTTTTCTACTCACTGAATTATTTTACGTAAAATCTGATTTAAATGTTGATTAAAGTTATAATATTTTCTAGTCTACATTATTTATCTTTGTCTTTTACTGTTTTCTTACCCAGTCTTACCAGAATTTGCTTGATTTAATACAGCATTTGAGACCAAAGACTGCCTTCTTAGTACAAAGTGAGCTGTAACCACAAGTTTGGTAATATTATTGCATTTGTTATTCATTTGTAAATGATATTTTGAAAAGAGCTGTTTTAGAGGAGATAAAAATCTTACTGTAATAGGTTTAAGAGAGAATGAGAAGAGAGGACCTGAAGAAAATAAGTATAGACAACTATTTTTTAAAGGTTTTCTTCTAAACTAGCACAGAAAAAAGAGGTATGAACTTGAATGGGACAAAGGGACAGAGGTTTGCAAATTTTTCTTTTAAATAGAAAAAAGAAGTAACTTCTAATTTTGTCAAGATTGAATAAAACTCTCTCCCCCCCAATCCACTATGTATGACTAAAACCCATTGATATTATACGTAAAGCAAACATTAAAAGGCTCTGAAAGGTGGAGACCTGAGGGATGACATGGTGGTGAGTTCCCTCAGTTTCAGACAGAGAGAGGAGGCTCACGAATTTGAGACCAGCCTGAGCCACATTCAGAGACTGTCTCAAAAAAACCAAGTGTTGTGCTGGAGATATGGCTCAGTGGTAGAGTGCTTGTTTAACATGCACAAGGTCTTGGATTCCATTCCCAGCACCAAATCAAAAAAAAAAAAAAACAAAACAGCCAGTAAGCCAGAAATGTCAATGAAGGCAGACAGAAAAAGCACCCTCCCCGCCCCCCAACGCCTGATCTTTTTTCTAGTAAAAAGATTAGGAAAGGAACAGCCTAGGGAGACAGAAAGCTCTAAAACTTAATACTCTATTCCACTCAAACACCACCAAATATTGTGGGCAACTCCCACCAACAGCACTGAAGACTCAATAATGGGGCCCTAAAATGTCCACCTACTGTTTCTTAAGTCCTGCGGTGTGTGGAAACTTTGCGGGGACATGAACTTCTACTCACACCACGTAGTAACAGGGCAGTCAATCTTCCTCTGCCCTGTGGTAGTACAGAGCTGGCAATGTGAAGAGTCAAGGCTTTCATCCTTTACCCCAGTGGGGTTAGTGAAGACTACATGGGGAGCAGTAAAACAAGGCACTTCTACCCCTCTGAAGGAAGGCATCATGGAGGCTTACAGGGGGTCTGGAACTTGCATTCCTGCGCAGCAGTAAAAAGAAGCATCCCACCTTGGGTGTCAAGCAGCACAGGACAAGAACTTTAATTTCTACCTGCACCTGACAGTAATGAGGCAGTAGTCTCCACTTCTTCCACAGTGGTATTTCAGTAAACAAGTTAAAGCAGTAAGCCAGTTAAAACAGATGAGGTTCTGTAACGAAGTATCATCACAGACCCAAAGATATCCAAAGGACAATAAGGGAATATACTATAAAGAACTGAGTAATTTGATAAATGAACCAATTCTTTGAAAAGCACATCACCATAACATACTACATAGCAGATAACCTGAGAAGCCATATAACTACTAAAGAAACTGTATTCAAAATTCAAGTTTCCGTGAAAGAAATCTCCAGGCTTAACACAGTTTCACTGGCGAATTATACCAAACCTTTAAACACTTATTTTACACAATCACTTTCAAAGTATAAAATATAAGGAAAAACTTTCCAATTCATTTTATAAGGCCAGTATTGCCTTCATATCAAAACCAGAGAAAAACAATGTAAGAAAGGAAAAACCACATAACCAATGCAGAAATAGCATTCAAAAACTTAACATTCACTCATGATAAAATTCTCAAAAAAAATGTAAAAAGAAAAGAATCCTCAACATGATGACCGTGCACAAGCAACTTGCAGCTAACAGACTTAACTCATGAAAGGCCATAAATTTTCCCTCTAAGATGAGTAGTAAGGAACAGATGTCCACTCTCATCACTCTTATTCAACACAGTGAAAAGAAGTTCTGGCAAATGTCTAAGTCAAGTAAAGTAAATCAATTCAAAGACATACATAACAGAAAAGAAGTGTCTCTGCTGCAGATGGCATGACTGTCTTTGTGTAAAACCTAAGGAATATATATTTTAAAAAAAATCTTAAAATACATGAGCTCAGTAAAGGTCATATGACACAAGATAAACATACAGAAATTAATTACTATTATTATACACACGCATATAGAATGATGAAAGAAGCCAAATATCTGAAGAAGAAGAAAGAAGAAAAAAAAAAGCTAGTGTTGGGTGTGGGAATTCAAAGAAAGTACCTGCGTACCATGCACAAGGCCCTGGGTGTGATACCTAGTACCACAAAAATAAATAAATGAATGTACACATAAATAAATGTAGTTTTAAAATACATATTTACTTCCTATGTATGAGAAGATTCAAAATAATAAACATGCCTATTCTCCCCAACTTCATATGCAGTTTAACTAGTATCTCAGCAAGATACTTTTGTACATATAAAGAATATTCTAAAATTTACATGCAAAAGCAAAGGCGCTAGAAACAGCTAAAACAATTTTGAAAAAAAAAAAAGAACCAGTCTATCTGATTTCAAGACTTACTATATATATAGCTACAGTAATCCACACTACATGGTATCTAGACAAGGTGAAGATAAATCAATGGGCCAAGCGCAGGTGGCTCATGTCCGTAACCTTAGCTACTTGGGAGACTTGAGGTCGGAAGGCTGGCAGTTCCGTCCAATGGAAAAAGCTGGGTGGGATCCCACATGCCTGCCATCTCAAAGACAGCTGGAGTCTAACTAGGAGGATCGTAGTCCAGGGCAGTATGGCAAAAAAAAAGGAAGACCCCATCTCTGAAATAACCAGAGTACAAAAGGGCTGGAGCTGTGACTCAAGCAGTAAGATGCCTGCCTACCAAGTGGAGTATCCCTGAGTTCAAACTCCAGTACCCTCCAAATAGATAGATAAATAAGATACATGAACAGAACAGAATGAAGAACCCAGAAATAGACCCACAAATACGCCTGATTTTGACAAAGGTGCAAAAGAAATTCAATAGAGGAATGACATCTTTTTCAATAAACAGCATCAATAATTTTTCAACAAATGGAAATAACAAGACTCCTGAGTCTCACATCTTTTACAGAAACTAATTCAAAATACACCGACTGAAAATAAAAGTCAAAAATATACATCTTCTAGAAAAACGTACAAGAGAAAATTCTCAGGATATACAGCTAGGCAAAAAATTTTTGCCTAGACACCAAGAAAGAAGAACCGATAAAACTAGACTTTTTAAATTTTTTGTTGATTCAACCTTGTTGAAATGATTAAAACACAAGTTACTGAAGGAGAAAAATATTTCCAAACCACATACTCAACATATTCATACCTACAACACAAAAAGAACTCTCAAAACTTAAGAGTAAAAAACAGAATTATCTTTTGTATCCATTAACCTCTTTATTTTCTCTCTGCACTAATTTTCTCAGACACTGTAGTCCACTGATTTATGTAGCTATCCACTTGTAACTCATCTGATAAGTTTTTTGTTTGTTTGGTTTTGGTGAGACTGGGCTTTGAACGCAGGGCTTCATGCTTGCAAAGCAGGCACTCTACTGCTTGAGTCACACCTGCAGTCCATTTTGCTCTATTTTGGAGATGGGGTCT